TTGGGGGGTGGGTGTGTGGGTGGAGGGTAGGAAGGATGGGTGGTGCGTGGGGGGGGTGTGTTGGTGGAGTTTGTATAGGCGGTGGGGGTCGTGGGGGGGGGTGGGTTGGGTGTGGGGTAGAGTGTGTGGGTTGGTGGGGGGGGTGGGGGGGGGTTTGGGGGAAGGGGGGGGGATGGGGGTTTGTGGCTGTCTGGTTGGGGTAAGCGCGGTACGGTTGGGTTGTGGGTGGGGGGTGGTGTGGTTGGTGCTGGCGTGGTGCGGGGCGGGAGAGATTTCAGGGAGGGGGTGTGGCATTGTGGGCGCAGATTGGTGGGGGTGAAGGGCTGGCGCGTCCGGGTGGGTGTGTTTTGTGGGTGGGGATGGCGGGGTTGGGTGGTTCCGGGTTGAGTTGTTTGATTGTGTGGTGCCGGTTGGTGGGGGTTGGGGGGTGGTACGAGTTGGGTGGTGTGGTTATTGCACTGTTGCTGTGATAGGGGTGGAGGTAAGATCGGGGCTGATTTGGGTTGTTGAGTGGAGTTCGTGTTTTGTTTGAATGAGACGAGGGGGTGGGGGGGGTGTGTGGTTGGGGAGTGGGTTTTGGTGGGGGTATTTGTGTTGTTTGTGTTGGGTGGGGTTTTGCGTGGGTATGAAAGGTGGGTGGTGTGATTCGATGGGGTTTGTAGGGGGGGTGGGGTATGGTGTAGGGGGTGAGGTAGTATGGGGGGGTTGAGAGTTGGGGTTTGTTGGCGGGTTGGTAGTGTGGGTTGGGTGTTATGGGGTGTTGGGTTTTGATGGATAGTGCTCGTATGGTGGGTTTGTTGGGTTGTTGGTGTTCGTGTGTGTGGGGGTTGGTTTTTGTGGGGGGTTTGGTGTAGGGGTGCTGCGGTTGGGCTGGGTGATTTTTGATGGTGGGTTTTGTTGGTTGTGCAGTGTGGTTGTTGGTTTTTTTGTGTGTGTGTGATGTGTTGGTTGGGTTGGTGGTTTATGTTGTGGGGGGGGGGGTTGAGGGTTTGGTTGGTGGGGTTGTGTTTGGTGTTTTGGTTGGGGGGTGGTGGGTGTGGTATTGGGTGTTTTGTTGTGGTTGTGTGTTGTTATTGTTGGGGTGGTTGGTTTCGTGTTTGTTTGGTGTTTGTGGGGTTGTTTTTTGGTGGTTTTTGGGTGGTTTTTGGGTGGGTTGGTTGTGTGGTTGGGGTGTTCTTGTTGTTTGTAGTGGGTGTGGGTTATCTGGTGTTCGGGTGTTGTTTTGGAGTTGGTGTGGGGTGTGTTTGGGGTTGTGTGTTTGTTTTGTGTTGTGTGTGATGGTGTTGTCCTGGTATGTGTGGTGTTTGGTGTTTTGTAGGTTGGGGTTGTTTTGTTTGTTTTTTTTTGTTTTTTTTTGTTTTTGTTATTTTTTTGTTGTTTTTGTTTTGTTTGTTTTTTTTTTTTTTTTTTTTTTTTGTCTTTTGTGTTTTGTTTTTTTTTTTTTTTTTGTTTTTTTGTTTTTTTTTTTTTTTTTTTTGTTTTTTTTTTTTTTTTTTTTTTTTTTTTTTTTTTTTTTTTTTTTTTTTTTTTTTTTTTTTTTTTTTTTTTTTTTTTTTTTTTTTTTTTTTTTTTTTTTTTTTTTTTTTTTTTTTTTTTTTTTTTTTTTTTTTTTTTTTTTTTTTTTTTTTTTTTTTTTTTTTTTTTTTTTTTTTTTTTTTTTTTTTTTTGTTTTTTTTTTTTATTTTTTTTTTTTTTTTTTTTTTTTTTTTTTTTTTTTTTTTTTTTTTTTTTTGTTTTTTTTTTTTTTTTTTTTTTTTTTTTTTTTTTTTTTTTTTTTTTTTTTTTTTTTTTTTTTTTTTTTTTTTTTTTTTTTTTTTTTTTTTTTTTTTTTTTTTTTTTTTTTTTTTTTTTTTTTTTTTTTTTTTTTTTTTTTTTTTTTTTTTTTTTTTTTTTTTTTTTTTTTTTTTTTTTTTTTTTTTTTTTTTTTTTTTTTTTTTTTTTTTTTTTTTTTTTTTTTTTTTTTTTTTTTTTTTTTTTTTTTTTTTTTTTTTTTTTTTTTTTTTTTTTTTTTTTTTTTTTTTTTTTTTTTTTTTTTTTTTTTTTTTTTTTTTTTTTTTTTTTTTTTTTTTTTTTTTTTTTTTTTTTTTTTTTTTTTTTTTTTTTTTTTTTTTGTTTTTTGTTTTTTTTTTTTTTTTTTTTTTTTTGTTTTTTTTTTTTTTTTTTTTTTTTTTTTTTTTTTTTTTTTTTTTTTTTTTTTTTTTTTTTTTTTTTTTTTTTTTTTTTTTTTTTTTTTTTTTTTTTTTTTTTTTTTTTTTTTTTTTTTTTTTTTTTTTTTTTTTTTTTTTTTTTTTTTTTTTTTTTTTTTTTTTTTTTTTTTTTTTTTTTTTTTTTTTTTTTTTTTTTTTTTTTGTTTCGGCTTTTGGGTTTTGGTTGTTTGTGACGACCCCCCCGGTTTTGTTGTTGTTTGCTGTTTTTTTTAATGTTTTTGTCTTGTTTGAGAGAGCAGACTGTGAGTTACCACATGAGGATTTGCCCGCGGCTAGTAAGGTCTGGCGAACATGTGACCAGTGACTATCAATTGTCTCCAGTGAGCGATTGCTCAACTCGCATGTCAGCGTACTTTGTTATGCATTCAGAACAGCTGGCTTTGTCAGTTGGCTGGTGTCAATGCGCTCACAGCGTCGTCGTGGGCGTCCGCCAAAATGTATCCACTGGTCAGCACATACAAATGCATGATCGGTGTCCACACATGTGCTCCAAGTCGAGCGACAATTCTGGATGCAGCCTCTCCAGCGGTAACTAATAGCAATGTGATCGATCTGCGTCCAAGGCTCGTTCGAGGCTTGTGGGCGCGAAGTCACCCTCCGGCGGGTGTTGTGTCGGAAATTAGTGCTCGCAAGAAATAAACGAGCATCTTCACACAAATGAAGTAACCGCTCACCGTTATCATTACGGGAGCCTACACCGTGCTGACCGCCCAGATGCATTTCATCAGTGGACAACTTTCCAACTTGTGCATTCATATCCCCCGCCAGCACAACAGTGTCCGTGCTTCTTCTGTGGCGAAGAAGCTGAGTCAGTTGGCGGTAGAATTCGTTCTTTACCGAATCATCGCTACAGTTTGTGGGTGGGTAGGCAGCGATGATGAATAGACATCTATTAGTCCCGCGCGACTTCGAAGCTTTAGAAGAGCCAGCCAATCGGACCGCACACATCCGGCTACTGATTGGAATCCAATCAACCAGAGCAGCTTCAGCCCGGGGATTCAGGGCAATGCCAACACCGGCTTGGCCGGTGCTCGAAGCTGCATCGTCACCGGATAGGCGCACTGAGAAAATACTGCTTGCGTCACCTGAAGGGGATCGCAGAGTGAGCACAGAGCTCGAGTCTTGCAGGCGGGTCTCCGATAAGCAGCAGATATCAATCGATAGGGTCTCCAATGTTCGGGCAAGTGCTGCATGTTGACCGATCTGTAGTAGTGTGCGTACATTAAGACATGCCAATCTGAAGGAGGATCGAGGGCTCCAAATGGAAGCCGATGAACTGGAATGGACCGCTTGGTTGGACATGGGCTTGTCGACAGGAAAGGAGTGACGGTCCGCGTTCACATGTGAGTTGAAATTAGAAGATAATTGCCTAGCAAAGCATGTTGGGGGAGGGCCAAGAATCGGAGGGTTGAAAACTGGGGGGATATAAGTGAAGTTGGTAGGGGACGGTGAGAGTGAAAAAGCGTAAGAGGGGGAATAAGAAGACGGGAAGGCTTGAGCAGTAGCATCCAAACCCCTATCCACCCTGCTCGATGCAGCAGATAGGGCAACGTTGATTGTCCTCTGCGGTGGCCAGAGCAACAGAAATTTGTTTGAGATAATATTCATGGTATTGCGTGGGCAGGATACTGTCAGGTTGCCCAGGCCTAGACAGGAGAACGATTAGGGTTCTCAACCAAAGCCTTTGGTTCAAAAACCTGACCGCAAGGCAGCGGGTTTGGCACCGGACTACAAGGAGTCCGTTTTAAAGAATAAGGTGCCACCCTCATGCCAACCCCCAACCTGGAGGACCAGGAGGCTGAGTTTGTCTGGCCTCTAACCATTGACCAATCTGGTATGAGTGACTCTGAAGGTGCAAAAGCACCACCCAGCATAGCTCAATGGATCGCTGAGGCACACAAACCATCGCACCACGGTAAGGTCCAGTCTCATTGCGATGGTTAAACTGGATATAGGGTGAGTGGATGGAGCTGTGGGTGGTGCAACGCAAACTACACGGCCTATATATATATATATATATATATATATATATATATATATATATATATATATATATATATGGTTGGCGGCATCCGGTTTCGGATTTGCCTATCACTGTGGCCAGCCACAGGACGCCTGCACCTACAGAGGGACCATGGATGGATTGCGTTGCACCATCCACAGCTCCATCCACACCCCATATCCAGTGTAAACCCAAACGAATAAGACCGAGAGGCATGTGAATGGAAGCCAAGTTTCATCGACGGATCCAGCCTACAGTCCTTCACAGGCAAACAGAAGCACGCTGTATTTGGGGAATCAAGTGCATACAAGGCGGTGGCTGGACCGTAGTCCGCTCCATACTGAGTGCATGGAACCACTCTTCGAACCTAGCACGACCACAAGGACCGTGCACCCCGTCCCCTCCAGCAACGACCAACTGTCTCCTGGAGCCAGATGGACGAGGTAGTGTGTAATAGACAGGTAGGCGCCTTGTCAACATGCACATCAAGCGCAGCCACACCTGGGATGTCAAACAACAGCCAATCACTCAAAATGCCGATATCGAATAAAGTAAACGCATATGACGACATAAATGCTCGCTAAATGGGCATGTAGAAGAAATTGGTTATAAGTGAATCCGGGATAAGTATAAAATGACCGAGTTATCTAGAAAATACCACGCGATACAATTACGCAAGTTTACCACAATTTGCATGAGCGACGTGTGAAAGTTGGGAGAAGATTATCAAGTACGCAGAACAAACCGAATAAAATGAAACGAATTTGATCCACATTAAAAAGACCTAGTTCAAGTGTAAGTTGGTTTAGCCCAACTGCGGTGAAGAAGCATATGAATGCTACATCAGCCTCAGCATGGCGCACTTATATACGTACATACATATACAGTGGATTCCGGTTAATAGGACCAGCCGCTTATTCGGGCCAAATTCTGAAGAACCGAAACGAATCCTATTACGCTAGCCTAATTTTAGCCGCTTATTAGGACAGGAATTCCGCTTAATCGGACCAGACGATAGAAGGTGGCAGGTAACAGAGGTGTTAAAATCAAGTTCTGTGCCTGGATGTCTGGACTAAACCCACAGTCCATATGTCGGGCAAGAAAGTGTATCATTCATTTACGGTAATCCGAGTTGGCCTTTGGATAAACTGAACTGTGGCAACCTTGAGGCACATCTATCTAATTGGCTTCAGAACCGCCCGAAACTGACTGTAGTTTCCAACGCTTGTATACGGAGCGAAGACATACATGCTTGTTCACATGTCGTTAACCGCTCGATCGATGTACCGCACATCCACTGAGCCGAATGCCCTGAGCCTGCATTGCGGGCCTACTCTCGAGCACGGCAAGTGATCGCGGACACACAGGTCCGGCAAATCATAGGACAGCAGGTGGCTAGGTCAACCATAGAAATATCCGGGAGACAGACTCGAGTTCACCTCAGTGGACTGTGCGTGTCTTGTTGCATGTTAAGGAAGTGCCACGACGGGACTTGACGTTAGCTGAGAAGATTCGTTCCCTAGATCAGATCAAGAAACAGGGACCAACCACTAGTCAGCGTCGATTGGTGGAAATTACCTGCTTGGCAAAATCTACAATATCGCGCCTGATAAAAAAGTAAGGTCTGCGAGAAGAATGGGCACAATGTGAAGGACGACGAGGTACTTCCCAAAAACGGAAGCGTGAAGGCAAGGATCCAGACGTCGATGAGGCCCTTAATGATTGGTTTGCCTTTGTTACTGGACGAGCCGTGTGAGTAAGTGGCTCAATGTTAAAGTACAAAGCAGTTGAACTCGCTAAAATGCTGGGCCACGAAGATTTTATAGCTACGGACGGCTGGTTGTCTCGATGGAAATCTAGACATGATGTAAAATTTAGGAAAGCACATGGTGAGAAAGAAAGTGTCAATAGCGCTCGAGCTGAGGAATGGAAATCAACAAAACTACCAGAGCTTCTTGAAAAATTTCCAGCAGATGACATCTATAATGCTGATGAAACCGGGTTGTACTATAGGGCTACACCGGACGGCTCCTTAAGTTACAAACATGTTACTCTCTCTGGCTTCAAAAAAGCAATGGATCGCGTAACTGTCTTGTGCTGCTCAAACATGTCCGGAACAGACAAGAGGAAGTTGCTGGTTATAGGAAAATGTGCCAAGCCTCGCTGCTTTAAGGGACTCAGAATGGACAGTTTACCAGTTGTGTATCGTGCGAACAGAAATGCATGGATGAGATCTACACTTTTTAAAGAATGTATGAAGGATTGGGACACAGAGTTACAACGGCAGTCGAGAAAAGTGTTATTACTTCTCGACAATTGTGCAGCACATTCAAATTTGGATTTCTTGAAGAATATCCAGATGGAATTTCTGCCTCCAAAGACCACATCTTTGATACAGGCAATGGACATGGGCATCATAAACAATTTGAAGACCTTTTATCGTTCAAGGTTGGTGAATTACATCCTTGAATCAATTGAGGAAGGCTTGCTGACCTCATCCTCGACGGCCGGAGAAATCAGTGCAAAGGTCAACATTTTGCAAGCCGTTACATTCGTGGCCGAAAGTTGGCGAAAAATGAGCAGTGCGACAATTCGGAACTGTTTTTCTCACTGTGGCTTTAAGCATATTGTCTCGGAGATGGATGTGGATATGGTGGTTGTAAATGAAAATGACGGCGAGAACGTGGAGCTGAAACAAGTTGAAAATTACGAAGAATTTTTGTCAATCGACAACGAACTTCAAATCTATGATGGAAATGAAGAATGCGATGCTGCCATTGTTGCTCGAATAGCAGCGAAACACACGACATCAACAGAAGACCATGGAAGTGATGAAAAGAACCCTGACGTGTTGATGCCAGTCACAAAACAGGATGCAAGGAAATGCATTGAAACATTGCACCGCTATTTCATGCAGGAAAAAAATGAAGGTAGTCCTATTACTGCGTTACATGTTTGTGGTGATTTTGTGCGAATGCAGTCTGTTAAAAAAATGCGTCAAACCACACTGGATACGGTCTTCAAACGCTGAATGGAATTCGGTAATCCCTTTGTATAAAATTGTACTTCGCATGCTGAATATCTTGTAGGTCGTTACGAAGATTTTGTTTGTAAATCTCTTTTTCAATGAACAAAGTTCGTTATCAAAGCAGTTCTTTTTTGTGTGTTTGCTATAAATATATGCTGCCAATACAGGTCATAATAGTAGTTTTCTACGTTATGTATAGCACGTCCCATCTTGATACATCGGGTAACTTCGGCTAATCGGACCAGCCGCTTAATAGGACCTAAATGCTCTGGTCCCGATGTGGTCCGATTAACCGGAATTGACTATATATATATATATATATATATATATATATATATATATATATATATATATATATATATATATATATATATATATATATATATATATATATATATATATATATATATATATTTATATATCGCAAGGGATACTGAAGAACGGCGACAATCTGCATATGCCGTTAATCTCCATGGACCACTCCTGCAAAGCGCTAATATAGTATTTCTGCATTCACCGAGTCGTCCCTTGTCGTTCTACTGGATGGGGGCCACGAGATACGCCGCAGTGCCTACCAGAGACCTTATCCAGTAATGCATGCGCATTTGGAACATTTCCACCTAGCGTTTAACTTTCATAGACGGTTATTATGGATTGCTATTCCCCAAGAAGTTTTCAAGTCATTTATTGTGCGCTTTCCACTTCTCATCCACGTCACTGAGAGCCGTGTGGAGTGGATCAGTATCAAGCCACTGAAGAAGACTAACTTATAATATGTGTCCACGAGCAGGATGCCAGCGGTTCAAACTCCCGATGTCAATGAGGTACGATGATTTTTCGCAGTGGCACTCCGAAAGGGGTAGATCAATCGATCTAGAAGTACATCTAAGTTAGATAGAAATTGGGTGTTGTCCGCCCGAAAACACTGTACAACCACGGGTGGGCAACACCCAATTTCTATCTGCTTTGAGTACGGTCGCAGCGATCGCAGTAACTAAGGCTCACTTCAATGTGAATCACAGTCCATTACATTGAGATTGCGCGTCGCAATCCAATCACACAACGTGCAGTCCAAACTTGACCCTCCAATTATACATCTAAGTTATCCGTTTTAAGTAAATCGGATCGAGCGATTCTATCTCCATAAGTCATGAAAGTGACGTAACTGATTCCCTAGAACCAATGAAATGATCGTGGAGAGTAGCGAAACGGTGGTAGGGCTAGATATGGCATGGGGATCGCAGCGGAAAAATCCTCGCAAACAAGTCGAGTGGTAACAACAGCAAGGACGCTATCTGATAAAGATGTACAAAGAGAATTCGAAATGGAGATAACAAGAGTGATAACCGGAGTAGGAGGATGTAAACGGATGGACCGAGTGAACCGAATCGAAACGCGCCTGATAATTACGGTAGATAGTGACAAACGGCGCAAAGGAAAGAACGCCACCTTTTGAGGAAATGCATTATGTTCTTACCTGAACAATCTGGATCGGCTACACGAGCGAAACGATGGATCACATCTTGCATCAACTTTAGTCCAGAGATACGTAGGTGACTGCTGTCTGAGGTCGCTGATATGAAAGCGATTCGGATGAGATCGGATAAGTGTAGAACCAGCCAGTCCGATGAGGCCAAATTCGGTTTACGTGATGCACGGAGGCAACGGGCGAGAGCCAGATCGAAATGTGCAACAGCAGATGGGTCGGTGAAAAAGGAGTCAGTACCATTTGTCGAACCGTTCGGTGAGGTAACCAGTGATGACTGAGTATCGGTCGCCGCAAGTCGGAACAGGCGAGAACAAACGGCCATAAGAACGCGAACGCAACCCACGGCAAACACTCGAGTTGGCCACCTAATGAAAAAAATAATTAAAAATGCGCAGATTTCTGAGCATGTAAAAGTGAAGTACGCTTCATGAACGAAGTACAATATGTCGTATGACAGGTCGATATATGCGAGGTTTAGTGTTATGGTCATGCGTACTCGTAGGGCGAAAAAATGGAAAGTGAGATTAACTGTAATCAATCACACGATCCGGAAAAAAATAGTTCGCCAGCATATCGGGTGCAGCATAGCAGACTAAGCAGAAAACGACGAGTATGTGGGTTCTAAGAGGTATGCAAGAGATAAATACTTTGTCCGAGTGATACAATTAACGGAATATAAGAATGTGTACGCAGCTCACTTTGTTTTGGTGGTTGTGGTGGACGCATTTAATGCAACCCGGTTGTTACCACCTAACGAATCATTTATTCCCGCGTCTCCGTCTTCGATTACTTCTGCATTTGACAAATCGTGTGAGCCATTTGGAACAGTGTGCGAAGTGACTTCTGAGGCGCTTTGCTCCACGCTCGCACCGCCGGTGGAAACTGGATCGGGACGATTCGCAGTGTGCAGTTGTGGCGCATGTACAGGTTTAAAAGCATACTCCTCCGCCGTAGTAGCCTGTAGAAGAGAAGAGCAGGAAGTTAGCTAAATTTGGACATTAATCTTACACAAAAACAAGGTTCCTTTTACAAAAACGCTCACTACAATAAGATCACAAGTATACCAAGAAACGGGCGATATTCAGACACAAATGGGCACATGAAGCTTTCAGCAGGCCACACACACAAGCATAACACAGAAGGTTGGGTGACCAAATACGAAGCACAATTCCAGAATGCACTTTTAATTCGTGACAATTGCATTCGAGGTAACATGGGTCATGCTCACTTGAACACCAGATAGGCGGCTCACTGGCTGTACCCAATCAGATTCACGCTATCCAGATGAGCATGGCAAAAACAAGCAGTTAAACCGAAGCGAATGCTTCGACTAAAACGGTGGTTGTTCCGCCTCCACAACCCTAATGTATCGACCTAAAAATGTCTGGTGCTACTGAATTACAAAGGAGGCAGTAGACTCAATCTGTTAGCGGAAAACGGGCGTTCCCAAGTTTGGCAGAAAAGGAGACGGAAGTGACTAGTGATCGTGAAGCAGTGCAGGTTCGGTGAAGTAAAGCGCAATTATCAAACAAATTTAGCGACCGGCTCGTAGTGTATAGTTGTTTAGAGGTAGCAAGGTAAAATTGGAAGCCGCTCCCGCTAACCATTTGTGTTGCGACACACAAAATGAAAAGGTATATTACGAAGAGGCTAAAGTAGAAGTAATTTCCTCGTGTGCAAGTAGCAGTCCAGTGGACTTTCGTAGTAAAGTAAACAACAAGAGCGGATCGAGCAGTCGTGGGCGTGTAAATGACTCCACCTACAAGGAGGAGGTGAAGAGAAGAGAAACAGTAAGCCCAAAATGTGCAACAGCGCGCTTGATTAGACACATGCATCCTGCCAGCTGACAGAAACAGCTACTACGAAGTACCACCACTGTTGTAAGGCACTAACCCACAACGCTTTATTGAACCGAATAGGATTTAGTTTCATGCGAATTACAGAGTCAACCTAACCCATGCATTCTCATGAGTTTACTAGCCATGCTTGATCAGCGAGCAAAAGCATCAATGGGGAATAGTCATCGCACCAGAAGCCACGCCGTCGGATGGGATCCCAGTGCATGTCTTGTCCGCCTTCAGAAGAGTCATCGAAATAAATGAGCTAATCACCGAGGAGTAAGTTTCGACTGCAATTTGTGCAGTGGTAACCGCGCTGTCCTAACGGAGGCTCGGATAAACACGTGGACAGTTCAAAAGTGAAAAGTAAGCCGGTTTGCACGCAGACCGCAACAATCATCAGCATGTCAGCATTCTGTCGACCGAAGGTGTTAGGCTGCGACAAAAACGCTTCAATTACAAACGACTTGTTACTGTTAACCAGTCGTTAGCACAATTTGCGATTGGTCCGTTGCTGCCTTCGACGCTGTAGCGAACCAAATTCCATCTGCTGGATGCGGTCCGGCCTTTGCCGCAGCACAGACCAATCGCTTTTCACCGTGCTTTGCAAGCAGCTACGCGTTGGCGATGCCAATTTGGGCCAACTGAGTGACGGTGCTTCAACTCCGTGTAATGGTGATAACTCGTTTGTACCGATGGCCGGAGCGGTGGTGACAGTTGACACACATGTCAACCCCCTAGCTGCCTGATCTTCCCAAAGGTTCAGCTAACACGATATCCTAAGTTGGCTGATCAACACTGCAAGCGCCAAACGCTCTACCGTCGTGTGTCAACCATGTGGTGTTCTCTTTGATGCTACCAATAACCTACCGCAACTGACCATCGCATGCCGTTGTATTGCTTACAGGCACCTTCACAAACGAATCCGGTTTCCCACCCCCACTTCACAGTTCCTCTATCCGAGTAGATTTGCCACAACGTCCAGGCGCAATCGGTTTTCGACTCCAAGCATAGGTAGGATTCAGGAAGTCTTACCTATCTGGCAGTAAGAAATAACAGGGCCATGGAAGCCGAGATGCCGTTTTCGCAGGCTAACTCACTACCATCATAGGTAATAGGAGACAGGAAGAGCATTTCACTTGCAGTGATAGTGAATAACCAAAAACAAGTTCATTCACAACTGACTCATGATGGGCGGGGAAGACACCAATCTAATCATCCTGCACGAAGCATAGTCCATACTTACATCCATAACTGAAGTAAGCAACTGGTGTGTATCATGTGGCTAAATATTAAGCGGTTTACCTGCAGCACTTCCTTCAAGGTGGCCAACCACTGGCCTAGACGCGAATGAGCGGAGAGCTGTAGCAAACTGACAATGGTTTCCTCAATGTCCCGACGAGTTTGGACGTCGGGTTCCACATCCAGCCGACGAAAAAGCAGCAGCTCCAGGGCCAGTGAGCTTTTCGGGGGCTTCTTAGACTCTTTGTAGGAACTTGCAGCATGGTGTTTTCCTCGATTCAGCGAAACGAGTGTCAGTAAAACGTCAGACTCTTTCTGACTTAATTGGCGAAAGTAGGAGGCAGCAGCACGGCGCAAGAGAAGGTGAGGGCTAGATATATAATCCTGAAAAGAGGGTAGAGTATACTGTGGAGAGAGATAGGCAAAAAGCAGAATTTGTACGGTGCAATCAACTAGGAAAAGGAAACAGTGTCCGGCAGGGACGGTATTCAGTATTTGTTGATAACCAACATATTCGTTGGATTGCAAGGAGCCATACAGAAATATGGTGGAAGTACAATGGGTATACCATGAAAGATATATGGCAAAGAGGTTTCGCAAACAAGAAGCATCTTCAAAAAGATTAAAGGAACCCTTTGTAATAACTTACCTGAAGCTCAGGCCCGACGACGGGAATTTCTAACTGTTGGGAAGCGAACATGTGTAATCGCTGCATACAGGATACGGATTCAGCTTGCAGCACCGGATCGTTGGAATGTTGCATAATCAAGCAGCACATGAGACAGGAGCGTCTGGTGATCGTGACTGAGGGAGTGGAGCCTAGGGTGGTCGATGGAAGAACATTCACACGGTGACCAAGTGAAAGTGACCGTTAGTAAGCATAATTGACTGGCGTATGTGTGTGCGCGCGATGGAGCTATGAGCATAACCGTGAACCCGTTCAAATGCCCACAGGCTTAGAAAGTCTGGACAACGCAGTACTGAGCGCTGTCATAGTTACCTGCTGAATCCAAAGTTACATGAAGACAAATAAGTGTCCTCATGTTTAGATAAAGTTGAAAATAAATTATTGAATATGAAACATGATGTGAAAGCACTTACAGAACACAAACAGACTGGCCATGGTAAAAAAAAATACAAAGGAGGTATGAGTCGATATACCGTTGCAGGGGCGAGACTTCTCTAACGTAGAATGGCAAGCTAGCATGATACGGCTTGGCAGTGAATACATTTGGCCCAATGCACCTGCGCGGAATATTCCATAGAAAGTAGGAGCAAACACATGAAGACGAAATGAGAATTTGCGCACCGATAGGTTGCCTCATACGAATGGCACTTTGTTGGGACAGATGAAACAGAAGCACATAAGAGGTCAGATGGATAACACTGCAAACAAAAGGACAGATAAGCGAGTCTACTTGCCCGTGCAGGCCCGTTTCTCTCTTCGCGTATGCACAGAAGTAGCCCGCACAACGGTATTCCCGAGCACAGATGTATGCCTACGTTCTCGACGGAACAGCAGAGTGCAGTATAAAAGAGTACCACCATGTGTAAGTGCAAAGATAAGTGTGTAAAACGAAATGTTTCACAAAATCATACTGAACCAAGATAGCGTGAAGTTCGGTACGGAGTGCCATCACTGAGATAGAAATACCTAGGAAATTTTACACTAAGCGCAACTGCTTGTTGTCCGACGAACAAAGTGAAGCTTCGGATTTTATAAGGTGAGCCACGATGAAGCCCCCAAGGTGAAAACTACATCGCTACGGGTTTAAGACCCCACAAAAGCAGTGCACACCTGAGTGAGGTACAGTGAAACCGTAGCTTGACTACCCAAGGGGGACTGGACCAAAGTGGTCAACATACGGAGGTTCTATGCCAAAACTTCACGTAACCTACTTTCCCGTTGTGAGTAAGATAGCATGAAATTTATGTTCGCACAAACCTGTTTCGAACACATTAGGCAAGGTCTCACGTAACGGCAAACGCAGTTCAACCATACAGTGTTATAAGGAATCAAAACGCACTGTGCATTTCGAAGTTAAATCATTGTTCGAAGAAAAGTCAATCTTTGTTTATTTCTCTTGTCACTAGGCAACTGAAGAAAGCAATCTCAGCAGATGCTACACAGCTCAGCATGCCTTGACATTTTTCCCCAGCAAATGATTTCAGTTGCATCCAGAAATGTCCGACTTCATTTGCAATTTCAGTGGTTTAAAAATTATCATCAAGCAGTCCTTTTTCATCAGTGAGATCAGATGTTGCTTATTTGTTCACATAGAGAAGTACCGTGGTCAGTATCTCCTGGAAAATAGCATCTGGGTCAGGGTCAGTGCAAGTTACCAAGTCAACATCCACTTCCACAAAATCTAAAATATAAGCCATCGAATTCTGCCAATTGAGATGGAATGTTTAGTAAGGCGACGGCATTTAGCTCGTGAGGTTGAACAAATCCGACTTTTCTGAAACACTTCAAGTCAAGTCAATATGTTTTATGTACCCAAATGGGTGCACTTTCAGCATTTTACAGAATCAACTGTAAATGTACCTAACGAGTATCTCCAAAATGCTAAGTTTACAATTGGGCAGAAAAGAAGAAGGACGCACTGTCATAACTCTATCGAGCAACGGTCTTATAATGCTAAACTAAATCTTCGGGGTTTGCATCCATTCAAATCAAAAAGGTTTCATTAAAACTTTTCTTCATAGTTTGTCTCAGTTGACGTAAAGCTTTGTGTGCAAATGCAAAAGATTGTGCGCGATATCTCACGTTTATATTCAAAAGGTTGATAGAGTAAATTGGTCTCAGTGACCTTGGGATTTGATTGAACCAAATACCTGTCAATTTATTCCTGCAAAATTGATATCTCTACAGTAGGTCATGTGAAAAAATCGATGTTCGGCAGAAAAGGCAACGGCGAATTTGAAGGCCCCGTCAGTTGTCTGTCTGAACTCTGAACCAAGCGGAAATTATCGAAAGGCATTAACTGAAGCAACAGAAGAAATCCTTTTCGCATTTGAATAGATAATATGCGATCTTGCCATAGCCCATTGCATGAGCTGAGCTCGGTAGAGCATTTTGGACAGTTTTCTGATCCGTTGGCCCAGAGGTTGAATTTGTGATGTCATGTTTGGAGGCAGAAACCTTAGTGTAATAGTTGAGATTTTTTACATGGGTGTGACTAGGACAGTTGTCCACTGTCAGGATAATGCAGCGTTTCCTCTTCATCATTTCTTTGTCGATGCTTCTGATCCACTCCTCAAATATGGCAGTAGTCATGCACGCAGATCGGTTTGATCTTCAGGTTACTGGAAAAATTTCAGGATTTAGGTATTTGAACGCACGTGGCCTACCTGATTTACTAATGACTAAGGGCTTTAGCTTCCCCCACTTGAGCTAGACCACAAGTGAACTCTAAAACGTTCATTGGAATGTTTTCCACTCTTACATTTGTCACCCTTTGTGACAAGGCTTTGGTTAGGCATCGCCTTGAAAAAGAGACCGTACTCGTCAGCGTTATAAATGTCGTCGTCGTTGAAACCCTTATTAAAGTTAGAAAATGTTTCGACAAAGTCATGAACAAACGCTTCAGGGACTTCATTAGATTTGCCACACAAAAAACTTTGGGAAATTTTCTGTCGGAGTTTAAATTTCCCTAGCCAACCATTGTATGCCAGGAAATCAGCAACCCCAAATTGTTGTGAGAACCTTTTAGCAATTTCCTTAACCATCGGCCCAGAAATTCGAGCGTTAGCTGCCCCCATTTGCTTGAGCCAGCTCAACGTAGCCTCACTGACTTCATCGTGAGAAGTTTGCAGCCTCTTCCGCTGTTGATCACCTCCTTCTTTACGGCACCTCTCCAAGTACTCGTGTTCAGGTCGTTTGATATTGCTAACTGTTGTCTTGCTAACACCGAAATGCACTGCCGTCTTTCTTTGGCTACTGTTTCACAGAAAATGTAGCAGACTAACCTTTACCTTCAAAGTCAATTCTCTGAGGTCTTTTCTTTGGGTCATAATGTTTAAGTACTCGTTATGACTGAGGCTAATTTGTTCAGAGCGTGGAGTAGATCTAAGGTCTACGGTTCTATTTATGCAATATTAATTGGATTTAATAACTAACGCAAATTGATTTCAACCTCAGGTGTTAATGAACTGGTGCTTAGACCTGGTGGTTAATCGTGCGTTTGGCAGTCACTTAAACTCCTGATTGCGGTCTGTGCGTTGAATGAACACATGTTCCTTGGGGTAGACGAAGGCTTGTCTGTGGACAGGTGAGGGAGATTGAACCCAAATCGTTCTAGATCATTCTGTGGGCGTGGATCTGTGGGTAACATATTGCACTTAAAAATTATTTACTTACATATTTCCTTGAGCGAGACCTCGACACCCACTTTTTGGATTACAGGTATTGGGAGCGTATCGCAACCGGATAAAATGTAGTAAAGCTGTAATATGCTGCCACCGCGCAAGATCAGCGACGTGATTCCGTGCAGGTGCCCGATTCACCTACGATGGAGCGACAAGGATTTTCATCTTCTCGCTCTCTAATTGTAGTATTTAGTATGCTGTACATGTGCTAAAAAGCAAATATCTGGTGAAAACATACTACCAAGGATAGCCAAAAATGGAAATATGCGTAGGTAGGGTTATAGCTCATGATGTTAGGCCATGCTAAGAATTGGACGATTTGTTGGCAGACGCTTTGACGTCAGTTTGGGTAACACCGTTAAGAAAACGTCAGATGAATTCTAATCCTAAAACCACTTTCCCCAACAAATTTTAAGCACCTCTAGAAACTGCACAAATGATACCATACAGTGTCGTGGCAAAAGAAGCGCAACCAAACTACCTGTAGTGGACAACTCAACGTCAACATTTTGATAAAGATGTAATAGTAACTGCAACATGTCGATACGTTATTTTCAACACAGAATGCACTCATCCGAATAGGGTGCTGATAAGATCAAAAGTTAGCCTCGAAGACAGAGGAAAGAAGTGTAGAATGAAGTTAAAAGCGTACCATGCAGTTCTGGTCCAATTGTGGTAATGAGTGTGCTCAATAATCTTCCCAGGCTGCGTTGTATGTCAATTGCAGTTGAGGCGGAACGCAGAAGCAGCTGAAACACCAGATCTAGACTAGGACTGACATATTCGCGGAACATGGGGCCCCCGGAGTCTGCAACAAGCGCGAGTGCGTACAGGGCCCATACCTGAACTTCTGGAACACTGGAGTCTTGCGCAATAGCCAATAAAATGCCAACACTCGTGTTCACATGTTGACCAGAGGCGAGTCCACCAACGTACCGATGTAAGCATCCAATGGCTAGGCAATGACCGGCACGAGAGATCGGATTTCGTATGGATCGAAGGCGTTCGAAAAGGTTTTGTGCCAACTCAGAAAGAAAACTAGGATCCGCAACCAACTGAGCTAGGCGACCCATGCACTCACCAGCGGCACAGCGAAGGAGAATACACGGACTAGCGAGCGCGACCTGAAACAGAGAGGGGCTTCATAGTCAAAATCAAATCGACAAAAGAACTATTAGAAAAGTCAGGTTATTAACAAATCGTGAGCAATCGATATCCGTTTGAAACGGAAAGTCAGGCGGTTCCATCGTAGTCTGCAATTGTAGCAGATACACCCTGAACGCAAAGCAAAGTTTGACAACAAGAGATGGGTTAGAGGGGACATCATTGATGAGAATAGATCGCGTCACCCGGCTCAAGCAATGACCTTCTGAGAATAGTGGTTAAAGACCTAAGGGTGCGTGAAATACTTGAACTAAACCAGTGGTTAGTGTGCACGAGGAGTAGAATCATACGGAACTCGTTTTTGAAATCTTAACTTCGTAAAGATAGTTCTAATTTCAACAATACATGATCCAAATCGATTAGCCAGAGATCCATAACTGCTAATGCAGCGCCAATATGCGTACGTCGACCAGGTGAGTGCAGAATCTCATCTTCCGAGAAGAACTTCAGTGTTCATTCAGTTTTGGATAGCGTGAGGCTAGAGCAGAGCAAATCACTGACCTGGCAACAAAAAGGAAGTCGTCGGCTACTGAACTGGATGTTGATAGTCTGCCCTGCATTTTATATGTATATGACGTGTGCAGTACTTAGCTCAAGACAATATGGACGATGCCACGTCATAGTCACAAGTGGAGTTGTTTACCTCTTTAAAATTTTTGCGATTTTGAGTTATGTGTGAAGTGAGCTTGGTTACAACGCCGGATAGGGTAGGGTAAAAAGGCTCTCTTCGGTATCCACTTATCATCACATGAAACAAACTGTCTGTGATCGCGAGGTATCGACTGGGTTTACTGATTCACCATGTTCGCTGAAGTAACAGACTAGAGTTAACCCCAATCTCTCTTCTAATTCCTTATTCGTACAGTCGTCCCTCTTACACGGTGACGGAATAACAAAAAGATACTGATGATGATGACAATTAGCAAGTAGCTTCTTCGTTGACTAGGAAACGATATAACCTGACTAGTCATGCGCAAGTATAGACAAGGTGGAAGTAGTGGCCGTGTTTGACGGAATCCGCGACTGATATTACCCACGATGGAACATCCAATGATTCATCTCAGTGGAATCATTAGCTGAAGGCCAGTGATCATAGTCCGGAACCCAACGATTGTCACCGAACAGAGCGCTTCAAATAGGTGAACATGAAGTGCATGGAAATATCGCTTAGCTTCAGAAATGAAGCATCTATTGGATGTTGAAGAGGTTGAGAACGCACTGGAAGGAGAGACTCTGAGACCCCCCAACAAGTACAGCGGAAGAAAACGCGATGGGGAGAAGGGAATTAGGTGTGTGCAGGCAAAAGAAAAAACAAAGCATATCCTAAAGCAGGGAGAAATACTGGAAGTGATTCAGTGAAGTAGAGCCACACGGGTGTGCACATTAGCATGAAAATACGGGGAAAATATAAATATGCAATGACTCAATGAAAACAGTTGAAACGCTCACCATATTAAGGTTAATTAACGAGTCACGCAGCTCGGTGGCTTCCCCGAAAGCGGCTTTGGTTTCAGTTAACCGTCTCATTGCATTCAGCAAAGCGGCGAATACATTGATTTGTATCGCCTCTTGTCTGGCGGATTTCGCCAATCGGATGCACTCGGCAAAGTGGTCCATCATCTGCACTCGGTGACGCATGGGGACGTAAGGATATACGCGACCGAACAATTCCACGGCAGAATCGATAACAGCCACACTCACGGGAGGTGGTAATCCCCCAGTCTGTAGGACGGCCGAGGGTGAATAACGGTTGCCGTCTTCATAAGTTGGCCAAGTGGAACAGGTAGACAAACCGACGGGCGGCAACGAGGATGCGGCCGACAAATCGACAGAATGGTAAAACGAGACAGACGATGGACCATGTGGTGAATGCTCTAAACCTTGATCGAGCATGAAACCATTTGAAGGGCACGGTGCGACAACCTATAGGCGGTAGTAAAGGCAAACGGACGTGAGTTTAAGTGGGCTCTAAAGGACAAAAGGAACAGAACAGGTAACAGATGAAGACATGAAACAATGTTCCACTTATAATTATAGGTAGAAAATATGTGCTTACTAAACGCACAAAACTCGGTAATAACGACAACTAAATCTCAAAGCTAAGCTAAGTAAGTTGGGTAGTCAGAAAAACGGCAGTAGAAGAAGTTGCATTTACATAATGTGTTGTCACCTTTAAGGGCTAAGACAATCATAGACGAATGTGGTCTGTCCAATTGCATACCGTGTTGCATGAGACAGTAGCGGTACGTCGGCACAACGTACTGATGCTACGCTGCCACGCGTCACCGCCGTCTGCGCAAGAGATGGGTACAGAGTGAGAGGCCGTCTGCATCTGTGCGGATTGGAACGGGTGACCTAGGGATTACGAGGCAAACGGGTAATCCTTTCGGCCACTGGCCGGTGCTGCATGAGCGACAGGAGATGCGAAAGGTTGGCTTGTACATATTCCCATTAGGCAACAACACTACCATTAATCACGTGTGTATCAAGTGGATTTCCTTAATCAGTTTCAGTGGACAAGAATGCCTGGGAAACTCAAAGCAGTGAATGTAGTCAAATAGTAACGTGAGGTGGGATGCCGAGTTTCATCCAAATGTCCAAAGTCATAGCACGAAGAATAATTTGCCAACTTTGGGGGCCAGAAGCAACATAGTGCTAAATAATCTGAATCAACGAAGCTCTCATAGCGCTACCTCGAACGGAAACACGGTGATCACTGCATGGCAAAACGATACTCACAGGATAAGAGGAATCAAGGATGCGATAAGAAAACCATAACGGAGGGCGGAAAAAAAGAAATGACTGGCTTACTGTAATACCAGTCAACCCATCGCGGAGAAACAGGTAAGCCGGATCGTGTTCAAGCGCAGCTGGAGAAACTGCAATATTCGGCTGCACCTGAAAGTAAAGAGTATGATAAACAGGCAAACTGCGTATTAGAGTACACTGCAAAGCTTACCCATCATCACAAACTAAAACGGTAGGACACCCTACGGAGAGGATGCCAATAATCGATAGTAGAACACAATAAAAAGGAACTTCGGTTTAGTTCTGTCATTCAACTATGGTCTAGACGAGCAGCTGCAGTATAAGTGAGATCAAAATTAGCTAAGCAAGTGGCATTGCTCTATGCGGTGACGGCGGACTTCAATCGCCATTCAAACCAAAGGTAGCAATTCACATTGATATTCTCTAGGCTCGAACTCAGTACCGCATTGATTAGAAGGAAGCACCGGCCCTTATCATGCATGACCATGGAATGGATGCGTGCTGTGCCTTCGGAGCAAGCATACAAGATGATGTATTCTAAGACAACCGTAGGAGATTTGATTTAATTTGTAGCGGAGATGGCTACGCACTTCAGCGCTATGGTGATCACGAGTAAATGGTCTGAGGCACAGAAACAGTTGACATTGCCATTGGGGGAAATGAAGAAAATAAGCCAACCGAATAGGCTCCAATAGAAATATCTGAACGCGGTTCGACTTGGCACCGTAATCAGAATCAAACTAAACCAACGTCGCAAGGAGATTCAACCTTAACGTGGTGTGACGGTTTGCGTAACTCCTTAACCCATTGAGCTATATTGGGTGGTGCCTCCGGGCACCTTGAGAGCAACTCCTACCAGATTGATCAATGATGAGAGGTCAGACAAACTCTGTCTTCTGGTCCTCCAGATTGGGGGATTGAAATGGGACGGCGTCCATTTTAGTAAAACCAAATCATTGTCACCTCCCCGCTGTCTTGTGGACAGGCTTTTGAGCCAAAGGATTTGGATGAGGACCCTAATCGTCTTCCTGTCTAGGTCTGGCCACCCTGGCAGTATCTCAGCCCACATACAACCATGACATCTTCTTCAAACATAAACTTCATTCTGCATCGGCCGTCGCGCAGATTATCAAGGGTCCCCTTGTTTACTGCATACACCATGGCGGATAAGCGAAAACACGCCGCTGCTGGCGCCACACGTTTTTCTTTTCAACCTGTTTTCTTACTTCCTTCCCAATCCTTATTATTAGCCTAGCTTCCATAGTTCTCATCTTAATTGACAGCCGCTGCAATACCACTGGAGTCATACCATCTACAGCTACCTTCAAGCACCATCCACCTGAACCCTATCGGCAAAAGTCATTATAAATCCACGCTGTCCAGCCACCCTTGTGGCGTTCAACGTTCGCACTCTAAGACAAGTATGTCAACAGACTGCACTCGCAAGGACGCTAGACACCCTGGGTAGCGACTCGTGTTCCGTGCCTGGAACTAGAATCAATGGCCATCATGGGGTTGTTGTATTAAATTTGCCCGTCTTGTCCTCTCGTTATTGGTTGCACGCATTCCGAGACGCTGATTCGGCAATCAATGATCAAGTTGCGATGGGCATCGTTCTCGGCTCCAAGGCTGAGTCGCCGTTAGTTGATTGGATTCCCGTGAACATCCGTTTGTGTGCAGCTCGCTTGACAAAATCAACTAAGCTTGATTCCCGAAGTAGTAAAAAACGCTTTGTTTGTGATTTGTGTTTATGCTCCCATCGACTGCAGTTCTAATGCTGTCAAGGATACATTCTATTATGAACTGAACGCGCTACTACCCAGTGCTACTAGTTCAGATATTATAGTACTTGCAAGGGATATGAAAGCGCCAGGGGGTCGTCTGAGTGCATCAGAAGCTCAGCAACGTGATAATTATGGACTTAACTCCAATCGTACAAACAATGGTGATCGCATGTTGCAAATATGCGGGGAGCACTGGCTGTTCCCTAGCAGTACTGCTTTCAGACACATTGGGCGCCGAAGTGCCACTTAGCATCCCCGTGTAGCTGACCAGCGATGGACCCAGGAAGATCACATTGCCATAAGTTACAGAAGGCGTGGTGCCATCCTGGATGGTCACTTATTCTGGAGTAGTCGCGTCGAGTATGATCATGCCTTGGTACGCTATTGCTTTTACATTAACTTTACAGGGAAGCGCACCAAGCGCCCCCACGATTGGAGAATGAGAAGTTACCTCAGTCCCCGATAAGGCAAGCCTACGAGGATGCAATGCGTACCGAACTTTCGCTTTTTCGTCTTAATGACATTGGGCGATAGAGGAACAGGATCGCGGCCGTCATGCATGAGCAAGGGCATCTGCTTGCCGTACTATCAATCGTCACTGCACTGGATGTGCGAGAGGTCAATGAACTTGATGGAATCAAAAAGAAGATTCGCGGCTGTCTGTGAGCACAATGAGACCAAACGCGAACTAAAGCGGAGCCTGCTTGATGACATGAAGAGTGGTGGACCAGATGGGCTCAAGAAAGGGAGAAGGTCTGAGCAGTAGACAATTCTCGCAAACTTTCCCAGCTAATCCGCACCACTGGTCCCAGGAAACCAGGCGTCAGCAATATAATCTAATCTGATTCTCAATAAGGAGCGCCGCATGGCTAGTTAGACGGAACACTTTTAAGATCAGCATAGTTGGCCCCCTTCATCAGTTCTTACTCAAGTAATGCAGGCTCAGCAATGGACGGAGGTCCGAAACGCGATCCAGCCTTTCAATCGCTTTCGCACTGTTGTCCCGGATTCCCTCCCACCTGCACTATTTAAGGATGGTGCTGAGGTCCTCTGTAAACACTTATCTCCCTGTTCGAACATGCCTGGAAGGAAAACGCCATCCAAGCTAACTGGAGTGAATGGATTATAGCGGCAATATACGAAAAGGGCAATCGTACAATTTGTCCTAACCACAGGGGTATTAGTCTAACGCCAGTTGTGACAAAATAACTGGCCTCAATTACCGTTCGTCATCTCACTGTGGAACGGGCAACCCGGATTACGGAAGAGCATACTGATTTCTGTCCTGGACGTGGCTGTATCGACCATATATTCACTCTGCGGCTGGTGCTAGAACAGCACCACGCAGAACGATAATAGCTGTCCTCCTCGATTCAGTCGATCAATGCATTCTGTTGGAAATACTTGTGCGGAAAGGTGTTCCCATTAAAAATGTGAACATTTTACGTGCTCTGTACTCAAACACCACAATCCATGTCAAAGTCGACGGTGATCTGTCGGATAGTTTCGTGAAAACAGCTGCCGTTCATCAGTGTTGTTCAATTTTGTCGTGGACTCCATCATGGAGTGTTCCCTTGCGGAGTCGATGTTACAGGCATTGAGGGGACATCTGGTGAAGAGCTAGTTTATCTTGATTATGCAGACATCCAGCATGTTGGGTGGCCCAATCAACCCTGAATAACCACACCAGAGTGTTCTCATTATTTGGCATGCGCTTCGCACCTTCTAAGTGTAAAGTGTTGCTGCAGGACCACCAGTCACTTGTTGGACCCTGGACTCTCGATAGCGAGAAGCTCGAGGTAGTTGATCAATTCACTTACCTTGGCAACTGTAACAGCAACGATGGGCGCGTGGCAACTGAAGTCAGTTCATGCATTGCATAGGTCAGTACTGGATCTTTGAATCTGCGACATCTTTGGCGACAGAAGGGAGTTTCCCTCCGTCTGAAATGCCGTGTTTACAAGGCCACAATGAGGGCCATCCTGCTCAATCGGAGTAAGATGGCCTATTCGGTCTGAAGATCTGAGATGCATTCAAGTCTTTGATCATCGCTGTCTGCGGAACATTGCTGGTGTCCGGTGGCGAAGGCGTGTCCGCAACAACGATGCGCATAGGTGAGTGGCTAATGAATGATACCCAAGGTAATTTCTTGGGACAACAAAGTGCTGAATAAGTTGCGTCGGTTTGGACACGTTTTACGTATGCCCAGTCCCCGCTTACTTAGGAGGGCCTTGTTTGGTCTGTCAGGTGTAGGGTGGCGCAAGGTTCGAGGTGGACAGAAGTTGACTTGGCAGCGGGAAATGAAGTCACTGACGACCAAACTGGGTGCCGTTGGTCCGTCTCGCTTTTTGGGCTGAAGTCCATGTGACTCACCTTGTGCTTGGCTCGAGACTTTACAGGACATGGCTCGCAACCGACACCAGTGGCGCGTCTACTGCCGTCTCCTAATTGGATTGCCTGTTTAAAGTATGTTTGGTGCTGAGTTATATGCGGGGTCTTGGCTGATTGAGATGCGGGGCAGTGAAAGCCGCAAAGAAACTGTCTTGCCGATGCCGCCTTATCTCTACACGGTAGCCAGGTGTTTGTGACGGTAGGCGCCTTGACCCTGAATGTTTGCTTAGGGCGCTAAAGTTTTATGCTAGGTCCCTCTTCTCTCTGTGTTATTATTCATCGTTCGTTAAGTAACCGTGGTGGTACGGCAGGGAAGCATCATTTCAAATGGCTGATGTACTGCTGTTGATAATGCCCAGAAGATGCACTGTCCTTTTATTGTTCTTGTGTGCGCTGGAACTACGGCTCGAAGGCGTTAAGTAGTCGTCGCTGATAGAAACACTGAGAAATAAGCACATTGCAATCGGTTCTGATGATACGAATGTCCAAGTGAGTCGGCCATTAGTCCCTGAACACTCTGAAGATCGTTTCAGTGGATACCTACACGACTGACAATCGAGATAGTTTTCTCCAGTTGTGCACCAACTGCGAACACCCAACAATCCACATTCCGATGTACTTAGTGTGTGCATCGCTACACGCTAGTAGGATGAAATGAAGTCTTGGATTCACTTGGATCCAAACGCCATCAGCGCGCGACAGTGCTGTTGTTGCTCGATGGGAGTACAGAACTGGGCTCCGATCGAGGTTTGGTGCACGACAGCGCTCCAGTGAAATGCAAATCATTGAAGGTTCATACTCTTCAAGTGAACTCAGTCCGCGACGCAGCAACATCAATCCGAGGTAGTGTCAGTGATGATTGAAGTAAATGAGCCGAGTGCAAGTTGAAGGCCATTCAAATGCGCAATAAGAGGCAACAGAAAGCGAATGACATTTAGATCAGTTGCCTTGAATAGTGCGTGGACTGCTGAGAAATCATTTAGTTCAGTAGAAGCAAGGAAGTCGATTTCCCATAGCCATCTTTATCTCATGGTATTCAAAACATCCTGGAACAACGTTTGGCAAGGAATCACAGAGTAGGTGTTTTGGATGACGAAGGTCAGGGAGATGGAGATCAGATACATTTAAAGCAGCCGAATACTGTTGCAGCCCGTTCAACAAATGAGTCCATGAAAGGCAGTAGAGAGTGAATCTGAGAAAGACCAATGGACACCGATTTAAACGTGGAGTAGAGCAATCTGGAAAATGAATCAACCGGCTAGTTGTCATGCTTGCTTGTCGCATCACCCGAAGCTTCCTATGGTGTTGATGCAACTGTTTCTAGGAAACATGAGACCTGAAATGAAGTGATATTTTTCTAAAGAAATAGGCCCGACAAGATTCCAGCACAGTTGTTGTAAGGAAAAGGGGATGCATTTGTAGCCGTGGTCATCGATCTGTGCAAACTCATAGAGTGCAATGAAAACACTGTTTTGGATTGACGGTTCCCATTCAAAAGTCCTTTCTTTAAAAAAATCGTATAACATTCTTGACGACTATTGCCGTGAAAGTGCCCAACAGGCGGTTCTCATTGGTACTCGGGGAAGTGAAAGCAGCGGAAACCAATTTGCCTTCCGTCCAGACTAAGGACGCATTAACAACAGATATTTATGCAGCGTCGGGTGATAGCACACTGCCATACACACAGACATGCTTGAGTGGAGCGCCACTGATCTGAAGCATGTTTTTACTCCAGCTTGTCACGCTCTTTTGTAGTGATTATTGAGGGTGTGGCTTGGAAATTTTGTTCTATATTGAAATCTTATTACGGTGATTATCGGTCATGCGAGGTACTCACCGGAGTTGTCCGCAACAAGCAGGATAAATCAGGGGCGCCCAAATTAGGACGCCGTAAGATAACCGACCGTTAAACTAAGAGTACAAGAAGAACATAGCTGAACTGAATCTGATAAAACACGTGTGGCAAGTATCAAGAGAAGAGAAAATTGTGGGTGGAGGATCGGTGGGATAAGAGTACAACTCCTTCATTTCCGATGAAAAAGGCGTATCGGCGGAGAATGGAAGAGACGGCTGTACAGAGAATGTACATAGCGAAATAACTCACAAACAGGAGTAGATAAGAATATGAGAAAAGCGTAGGGAACAACGAAGCGGATAAAATGTGTTGATTCAAAATGTGCGCATGGGCACAGGACCATAGTGCATATTGTAGACTGACGGCGATGAAATACCCTTGACGACATGAACTACGGTGTCATGTCCAAGTTCAAACTTCAGCGACCGTACACAATGACGTGACAACAACAGCTCAGTAAAAAGGGAGCGAAGTAGACTTGTGACCGGGCTTGAGCGGATTCAAGACACTACAGAGCTCGGCGAGCGCACATCAGCTGACGGAGGAATTAACTAGAACAGCAGAACGAGAGAAAGACGGTTAAGGGTGTTGGGACTGCGTCCCGAGTTGTTCTGTCATCAGTGAGGACAACCCAACACCATCATCTACGCATGGGACTACATGTACCACCACTAAATGCCAGAAAGATAGCTCACCGCTCTAAGGTAGTCGTTTGATGCTAATGAGTATGACCGCTGCGAGTCTAAGTGCGAACGGTTTCCATAGGGTGTCATTTAACATACGAAAGTAGAACGTTCAAATTCACAAGAAATGGACTAATCAGTGAGAAAGACGATGATCGATTAAAACATACTATGGAGCATGAGGTCTAGATGAAGAGAAAATAACTGGTAAATGGTAGCCACCTGTGAAATTTGAAACTCAGGTCCAAAGGACAGGCGCATAAATACAGTAATGACACGAAGGTGGGAACACATGTACAAAATTATGCAAATCATTTATTCCAGCCATACCTGTTCTTCCAAAGTCTTCTGGTCTGTATCCTGGGTCCAGAAACCGAGAGGAACGTTGTCATCAGACCGACACAGAGAGCGCAAAAGAGAGGTCGTAGTGTTTGACACGCTATCCGTCAATGTGAGCTCTGCGACCAATTCGCGTAACAATGTGCTATAGGAACCTTCAGGAGGACACGGTTAAGAGGGACAATGAGGTATCGAAACAAAATGATCCGAAATAAAATAAATAGAGCGCATGGAAATGAGGAAGCAGTAGTGCAACATGGACGTCAGCTGTGTGTAAACACAATTACAGATGCAACCACTACATGCTAAAGCCAATAGTGTGAGAAGATGGGATGACGGGGACGCTTAAGAGGTCGGCGGCCCGAAGATGTCGATAGACTATTGGAGTAGCGCGTGCAAACGAGAGCCATATAGAGCTTACACTAGAATCAGACGACAGATGGTTTACAACAGGGGGCAATAAAACATTTGTCGGAATGCTGCTCATTAGTCTCATCTTGGTGGAGTGCGGCGAAGGCATGGTAGGAATGGCAAGGCTATTATAAGCAGCTTGTTGGGGGCGAATGGGCTTTTAGTGATGATGAATTCCAATCCAAGAATCTAGACCCTTCAAAGCGCCCCATTGAAGTAATTACGGCGATAATTGAAATAATGAATTCAACGGGACCACAAGCATGAATAAAAAAGTGAAGGATTTTGCCAGTTGTCAGCTCTGATGAACTGAGAGCACATGCAGCAACGGAAAAAGCGTCCCTGGGAGAACGGGTGCACCATCCAGTTGGATAAGTGAACCTGCATAGTAAGCAGTTTAAAATGGAGAGAAAACCAAAGTAACATGGTCCATTCGACTAATGGAGAAAGAGAAGGTGGGTCGAACGAGAAGCGCATAAAAATGTTTCCAGCTGGACGAGCGATCAGGCGGAGAGCGGATAGTAGTAGTAGGCAGAGCATGCAATGGCATTTGGCAGGTGAGAAACAAACGTAGAACGTTTACCTGACCGTAGTTGCTGGACTCCGCACTGGCGAATGCGATGAAAAAAGACTAGGAGGATCGATAAAAATGTAAGGACAGTCAGTGACCCAAATACTCTGTAGGCTGCTTTGAAGCACGAGAAAGATAAATGAACAAAAAAACAAATTAGATACGTTTACCGAAAAACGATATATGCTCCCTAGGTGGAAGCGATCAGGTGCACACAGAGTTGATACTGTAGTTTCTGTGCCCCAAGCCACGCACTTTCTCAACCACTCCGATGAAACAGAATTGATTAGTTCTACAAAAACCCAAAACCCGATTGTCCACAATGTACGAATGCCTGTAATAATAATAATAACAATAATAATAATAATAATAATGTGTCAGCTGTACACCGTAACGGCGCTTCGCTGCCGCGCGACCACTCCTAGTCGCGCGCGGGCTGAGTATACCGCGAGGACGCCCATCCCCACGCGGATTCGAACCGGTGACCTTATGGTTGCAAAGCGAACGTGCAGACCACTCGGCCACCGGCCGACACGAATGCCTGTACTACATTTTGTTCGAGTTTACTTCTAAGCGAAACCCGGGAGCAAGTAACGATGGGGGAGGAAGGGAGTAGGTGACACAGGCACAAACTTCACTGCGTGGATAGTGTGATCGAGGGAATAAGTTAAGGAGGAGGAGGAGGGAATAAGTTAAGTGCAGACTTCTAGTGGTTGGACTAGATTCTGTTAATGTTGCTGTGAGCTAAATATCTAGCATATTCGCTATAATGAGAAGTTTCAAAAATGGTTCGGAATGTGGTGAATTTTGCACACGCGCGTTGTTGCAGTGGTGAGTTGTCCAACAGATTAACCTGCCTCAGTAAGAAAGACGATTGAACTGGCAAGTTGTCAGGGTAGTATGTGACTCTATTACGAATGGGATAGATAGTGGTTTTCCGCAATTCAAGGGCAGTGCTGTCCATGGAAATCCGGTTAGTCGCGATGCTGAAGGAGATTGTTCTTCAATCTTCACAGCCAAATGACATTCAGTCAGAGATGATGACAACGATTATGATAATTCAGAACTGCGGAGCGACGCCTAACCCGCATAGTAAATGATCGTTGGATATTTTCCAGTTAATATGTCTTCCACCTTTAATTGCCTATGGATCGAATAGGTCTTATCATAATTATGAATAGACAGGGAGAAAATGCTAGTGATGGAACCGGATAGCTGTCTGGCTTTAAAAACTTAGTAGAAAACGTGTTCAGATAAAATAAAACATTTAGAACACCGAATTCACAAATCCAGACCTGAATCATAGGTAGAGATCATGGTACGCGCAAGAGAGGATGCAGCATCTGTACCCAGATACCAGGGACCTTCGTCTGGAGAATTGCATGTACAAGACTTCATTGAATGAGTATACATTTTGACATATATTTTCCCAAGCATAGTTGTAGTTGGTCTGGCGAAATGAGTAGACTAGTATAACGTCAACTGTACACATAAACGAATGTCCGGCTTTTATAGGATAGTATGCCTTGTTTAGGTACATTAAGAAAAGAAGCGACCCAAGCATACCCCGCTAAAAGAAACCGAGTTACTCATCTTGCTGTTGTGTCGGCCCATTCGGACTATGTGGGCCCGCATGTTTAAGTAAGCATTAAAGCAACATAGCAGTGGGTTTCTAATACCAAAAGATTCCAGCACAGTCAACAGTGGTGCGTGTAGTACATGGGCGAACGCTCTTCGGCTATTCAAGCGACATACGAATACAGACATTCCGTTGTAAATCACGGTCGTAACATGATAGAAGAATCACGTCTGGCAGAAAACGCAGGAGCGCCTTGAAAAAAAACCATCTTATGAGGGACCAATTAGATCCAGTCATGTAAAATTTGGACAGCACCGATATATCGCATGGTGTGCAGCGGTGAAGGACGTGATTGCTCAAGCCTCCTTTTTTATTCAACATTCTGTGCTTTCCATCCCAATCGTCCAGCTCAAGCAGCACATATACAAACACAAGATTAAAACTCTGCTATCAATGGACACCGTACGTGTTTTGCTGGACATCTATTCTCTACATATTTTCCAGATCGCTTGCATCCAGTCCAATTGAATTGATTGCAGAGGATCTCACCTGCAGTTGAACCTGGTTGATAGCTGATTTGAATTGCATCCAATGTCTTTGCGTACGCACTATGCACGTACTGTAGTGGAGTTGAGCTAGCTCAAATCAGCCAATGACGGTACATGTAATACTCCTTGTATGGACAGTGTGGATTGATGGTGTGCGGTGGAGACGCATGGGCGTTCTAACTTCTAGTCAACAACGATTGGCTAAACTGAAGCTATTCCTGGCAGGTTGGGGCACAAGGTTGTCCAAACTCACGCGGTGTGACTGGGTTGAGTAGGCGTAAGTGGGCCGAAATGTACGTAAAGGCATGCTTTGCACAGGGCACAAGTGAGGGCGGCTAACACGCAACGCGACACCCGATCAGCGATCTTAAGGTACTGTGTTTTGGCTCTCAAACGATGTGTGCAGCGTAAGTGGTGCTGTACTGCATCCAGTTCGACACTGCAGCGAATTTGAAGTTGGCTAATGAGATTAAATCGGCTCTCATTTGCTGGTCTGTACCCTATCGCAGAGGGCGGGAAAGTAACTGACTGGGTAGCTCGCAAACCGCGGACTTGTGCAGATCCTGTGTGTTACGGAGAGCCAGCGTACAAGCCGAGAATTGTTTCGGAACATTGGAGCAATCTACGATTTGAGATCGAATTCGAGTAGAGATCAAAACGCGAATCTATGTGGGATCAGCGGCAACTTGGACCATGAACTGGAACCGATTGAGTTGTGTTCCTTAATATTAATTAGCATCTCCAATATTGTTGTGTTAGTAGTTAGCCACAAACTATTTTTTGAGCCATGCTCTCATACAATACCAATCCAAATACCTCGGTCCGGCTGATCTTGACGTTCTCATTTCGTTACGGGTTGAACTGGTTGGGGGCGGCACGACTGTTTCAGGCAGGTATCCGTACAGTTAACGGCAATCACAACACTGCATCCGTGATAGCCATACGAATCCATACGCATGAGTTACACAAGCAGGCCCTAATCGTTAATGACCGTCGCAACGAGACTGGACCTTAACGTGGTGTGACGGTTTGCATAACTCCTCGACCCATTGAGTTATACTGGGTGATGTCTCTGGGTACCTTGAGAGCTACTCATACCAGGTTGGTCAACGGTTAGTGGTCAAACAAATTCAGTCATCTGATCCTCCAGGTCGGGGGTTAGAAATGGGATGGCGCGAATTTCTGTAAAACTAAATCATTGCCACCTCCCCGCTGCCTTACGGACAAGCTTTTGAGCCAAAGAATTTGGATGAGGACCCTAATTGTCTTCCTGCCCTGGTCTGGGCACCCTGGCAGTATCTCAGCCCACGTACAACCATAACTTTTTCTTCAAACATAAACTTCATCCTGCATCGGCCGTCACGCAGATTATCAAGGGGCGCGTTATCTGCTGCTTACAGCATGGCGGATAAGCGAAAACATGCTACTGCTGGCGCCTCCCTTCTTCCTTTTCCACCTGTTTCTCTTACCCCCATTACGACCCTCATTACTAACCTTCCTTCTATAATTCCCAGCTTAATTGACAGCAACCGAAGTGCCACTGGAGTAGAACCGTCGGCAGCCACCATCCCACAGCAACTATCGGACGCCTGTCGCCAAAACTCCCTTATAAGGCCTTGCTGTCCAGTTTCCATGGCGGCGTTCAACGTCCGCACTCTAAGACAAGCAGGTCAACAGGCTGCACTCGCACACACCTTAGACACACTGGGTATTGATGTGTGTTGTGTGTCCGAAATTAGGATCAATGACTCTAACGGGGTTATTGAATTGACTGCACCCGGCTTATCCTCTTGTTATTGGCTGCACGCATCCGGAGACGCCGATGCAGCAGTCACGGGTCAAGCTGGTGTAGGTATCATTCTAACCTCCAAGGCTGAGCCATCGTTGGTTGATTGGATTCCGGTGAACAGCCGTTTATGTGCAGCCCGTTTGAGGAAATAAGCTAAGGGTTGTTTACGATGTAATCCAAAACGCTGTTTGTTTGTAATTGCCGTCTATACGCTCACCGACTGCAGTTATAATGCTGTCAAGGACATTCTATCACGA